AGTTGTATGGTATTATTGGAAATTGGCCTGAACCCAATGATAAAGCCTGTCTGCTTCGTCTGCCATTATATTGTCTCCCTCTTTTGATTTTGTTTCTAATCTTTTAGGGTCTCTAGGGACCCATTCACTCTCACACCTAATGATCCCTGTTTTCCTGGTCTCCCTAAACCAGGAGGCTGTCTCCTGGGCTGACGAGGCCAAGGTCCCCGAGATGCCGCCGTGTCTATCTTGGCATGTTTGCTGACAGTGCCGACTCCATTTTTCCAAGGTGCACACTGTTTACAGATGCGGTGTTTCTCCTGGATGCAAAGACAGCTGTAGACTTATTTTCTCGCTTATTACTAATGTATGAGTAAGTACTTTAAAATGTATAACTACTCCGATTTCCATTCCACCGGGGAGAGAGAACTGACAGACTCATGGCCAAGTCACAGATAACATTAAAAAGTCAAGCTGCTCAGAAAAACCAGAACAAATGATCTGCATTGACTCATATGACAGCAAGTACCGGGTACCTGGGGTATCACCAGTCCCAACAGAGGCGCCTGGGAGTGAAAATAAGCACTGGGTTCCAAACTCACCAGTTCCTAAATCAACACATTTAATTAAAATGATATTTGGGGTATATTTTATTATGTAAAATATGTTATTAAATATTTATTTATCTGTTTGTTTGTTTATTAATTTTGAGACAGAGTCTTGCCGTGTAGCCTTGGCTGGCCTGGAACTAACTATGTAAGTCCTAGAGCTCTGCCTGCTTCTGCCTCCTGAGTGCTGGAATTAAAGGCACGCACTTCTGTGACCAGCATGTTATTTTAATTTTAATCAGGGCCAGTGAGATGGTTCAGTGGATAAAGAGGCTTGCAAACAAGCCTGATAACCTGAATTTGATCTCTACATGGTAGAAGGAGAGACTGGACGATTGCATATTGTAGGTCCATGCATGTACCTGGCTTGGCCCACATATGTCCCCACCACAAGTTAAATATATTAAATTTAGAATTGAAAACAGAAATATAGTAACTATATAGATTATTATGTTCTTATTTGATTGGTATTTCACTGACTTACTGTGCTGTCCCTTACTGTGACAAGATATTTGAGGCTGGGGACTTCATAAAGAAAAGGGGTTTCTTTAGCTCACAGTCTCTGGCTTCATTGACTGACGGCTGATAGCATCATAGTGGGATCACAAGTAAAAGGGAGCTAGAAAGAGGGCCTGGGAATTAACAAGGGTCCATAAGAGCTTATCTATCTCTTCAGTGGGTGTACCCCAATGATGAAGAATCTTCCAAGGACATCCCTTTGTAAATCTCCACCCCTTTTAACATTGGCTCACTGGAGACTAAGCTTCCACTGCAAGAGTCTTCGGGCTCACACACATCCAAAACATCACACATGTCTTAGGCATTCTTCTGGCATTCTCCTCAGCTCCCTGAGTTACACATTTCCAACAAGACATTGCTGCATTTCCTTGGAAGAAGCCCTGAGAATCCCTCTGTGAGCACATTGCCAGGTCCTTAAAGACCTTGAAAACCTTCCTGTTCAGCCTGCTTTTAAGAAGGCAAGAGCAAATGTTGCTACTAAAGAGGCTTTGTGTGTAGACAAACACCAAGTTATAGAGACCATGTGCAGACCTCTGCATGCTGCCCTTAAAAAGGTTTCCTTGTACAGCTGCTGTCTGCCAGCATCTGGGAACCCAGGGGCAGGGAGGCAAACGCTGAGAGAGCAGTCCTAAGTGCTTACGTAAACGACATGCTTTCTGCTGACCGTATGCCTCCCTTCCGCATCTACTGTTTCAACACCAGGCTTTTTGTTTGTTTGTTGTTTGTCTTCCAGTTCCAGACCCTAGCATCAGCTATAGAAACTTTTGTCTTGGTTCATAACGACTTTGAGTATGGAGGGGCATGTTCCCAATTATGAGCAATGAAGCATGACCATAACTTGGTCTATAGCTTCAGAACAAGTCTTTGGCTGGTAGGATGTGATTCAAAGGGTTTTTTTTGTTTGTTTGTTTTTGTTTTGTTTTATTTTTTTCTCCCTCTGGATGATTACTATGGTAACTGCTGTATCTGTGCCACTTCCAGACTGAAGAGAAAGTCCCTTGGGTGAAGTGGGCAGAGCAGAAAGACAGACTTGGGTCTTTGATGGCATATTTGAGCTCTGATGTAAGACAGCATTAATGCCATGACAGTGACATGCTCCACACTATGTGTGTGTGATAGTTTAAATGTAATTGGCCCCCATAATTTCAGGCAGTGGCTATTAGGAGGTGTGACTTTGTTTGTTGGAGTGGGTCTGTCACTGTGGAGTGGGCTTTGAGGTGTCCTATGCTCAGGATACTGCCCAGTGTCTCAGTTGACTTCCTGCTGCCTTCTGGTCAAGATGTAAACAGCACCATGTCTTCCTGCATGCTGCCATGTTTCCCGTTATGATGATAATGGACTGAATCTCAGAAACTGAAAGCAAGTCACCTCAATTAAATGTTTTCTTTATAAGAATTGCCATGGTCAAACAGCAATAGAAACTTTAATTAGGACAGTGTGTTAATTTAAGCTGTCATCTAAGTGCTTTTAAATAAAAATTCTCTTTTTGCAGACCAACTATCCTTGCAGAAAATGGGAAATAGTTATACTACTTGCCAAATTAATTTAGTTAATAGTTTTTTATTTGTTTGTTTGTCTGTTTTTTATTTTTTAAGACAGGATTTCTCTGTAGCTTTGGAACCTGTCCTGGAACCAGCTCTTGTAGACCAGGCTGGCCTTGAACTCACAGAGATCCACCTGCCACTGCCTCCCGAGTGCTGGGATTAAAGGCGTGCGCCACCACCACACAGCTAGTTAATAGTTTTGAGGAAAATGTATTTATGCATTTTTTTTCACGAAACCATTTTTGGACTGCCTTTCACAGAAAGGAAGCACATTCAAACAGAATTTGTAATTTCAAAGGAAATATAAAATCAGCACCCGAGTAAATGTAACAGGAAGCACGTCAAGCCACATGAGAAGCTGCGATAGTGTCGGTGTTAGATGAGCTGTCTTACACAAATGCTATTCTGAGTTCACATTCTTCAGGATACAGCCCTTGGCAGAGTCACTTTCATGTCCCATTGTCCAGAATTGGGCAGTCATCACCAAAGAAAACCACCCACGAGGACAGAGTGAGGCGCTACAAGCAACCAGAACGTAGTCTGAAAGGTCTGGGTCTTTTGTAGAGGCCCCAATCTCATGCGCATCAAAGTAATGGCTGCTTATGATTTGGGGGTGTTGTGGTTGAAGGTATTGGACACGGCTGGGCAGTCCAGAGGAGCATGGTCAACCATCTTGACCTGAATGGACTTCATAAGGCTTCCCTTCACTCTTAGCTGGGGGGTGTGTAGGCATCAAAGATCAGCGATGGGGTAAACAAGCAGGTTTTTGTGCATCCAGTAGCTCCCTGTATGATTAGATATGTCACCGTGTGGTGTGGGAGAGGACAGGATAGGCCACAGGCTGCCACACCGCCACACTACACCAACGGCACCAGGCTCCAGGAAAGCAATTTCAGCTCCGTAGACACATTGTGTCTTCTAAATCAGCAACTTCATTCTCAGAATTTCTCTAAGAGGAACGAGTAGGAAGATTATTAAAGTCGAGATCCATTAAATCTCCTTAGCTGATGGCACTGCACTTTCAAACCCATCAGTAACTGTGAGTTAACTACTGTGAGCTCCATTTTAACAATGAAGAAGCAGGGCCTGGGGAGGTAGATCAACAGTTAAGAGAACTGCCTGCTCTTCCAGAGGACCCGGATTTGATTCCCAGCCCCCGCGTGGCTGCTCACAGCCATCTGTGACTCCAGTTCCTGAGGATCCAATGCCCCTTTTCTGACCTCTGCAGGCACCAGGCATGTCAGTGGTGCCCACATAGGCATGCAGACATGAAGACAAAACACTCGCGCGCTCAAAAGAAAATAATAGGAAAAAACCCTTTTTAATGAAGAAGCAAAAATTTGAAGCTGTTTGCTTAAGAAGAGCTGCCGAGTAGAAGAGGCAGTGTTCCAATCTCATTCTTTGCTTTGAAAGTGTAGTTATTTCTGGGGCAACACAAGTTTATGGAGACCATGCTTACTTTTGTACTTTTCACAATGACCACCCTGACAAAGTCACTATTTTTATGTTGATAATCATGGGACAGCAGTTTGGAAAACATACATAATATAAAATTAAACAGACGTACTTATATATATACTTATCCTAAAATTACAGCTACATGGAAAAATACTAGAAGGAAACGTTGAATAATGGAACAGATTTTTAGTAGGTAACATCTTATAAGCAATTTTATTCTACTTAACTCTGATTATTTATTGTTTTGCTGTTATTTAAGGGATATTTTTTCCAGCAAGAAAAATACGTGCATGGTGGTGCTGGGAATTGAACTAGGGTCTTGTGCATGGCAGGCAAGCATCTTTTCACTAATTATGATCCCCAGGTCCTTTTTACTTTAGCTTGGGGTGGTGTCTTTGTAAATTGCTCAGGTTGGCTTTGAACTTGTGTCCTTCTTGCCTTAGCTTCCCAAGTATCTGAGATTATGGAGAGCCTGACACTTGCACCGGGTAAGATGCGCACCAGTCCCTGTGCATGGGTGCTGATGTGCATGCAATATCAGCGAAACTATTTTCAGAATTAGCACTAGAGAACAGCACTTGTTTCTTGAAGAAAAGGACTCCAGGTGTTCACTTTACACCAGTGGTTCTCAGCCTTCCTAATGCTGCGACCCTTTAGTACAGTTCCTCGTATTGTGGTGACCCCCAAACGTAAATTTATTTCATGTTACTTCATGACTGTAATTTTGCTACTGCTATGAATCATAATGTAAATATCTGATATATAGGATATCTGATGTGACCCCCCCAAAGTGTTTTTACACTATTTTACACTAAGTACACACTCTTCACAGATACGTTCATTTGCAGTTCCAAAGACTCCATTCACTGCTTTAAGCATCTACAAGAGCGAGAGCACCAAAGAATCTTTCCCTGAAGAGCTGATTTCATTTGAGTATGGCACCTGGTTGCTGGGGTCAAGTTACAGGCACCAGGGACCAAAGCACTTTCTTTTGATGAAACCCAATGGTCCATGTCTAAAGAATACTGTGGAGAAATGAAGAGACCTTCGCAACGGTGAAAAACTCACTTCAAGGAGAGGCAAATGCACACCCTTCTGTAGAAGGTTTCTAGTTTTCATTTCTGTAAATAGAGGTCTATGGGATCCGGGCCCTAGCAGGCTGAGCATAGACAAAGGAAGCCACTTCTTCAGTTTCCTCTTATATGTTGGTGGAGCTGATGAGACTCTAGGGAACTGGGACATATATTAAAGGGGAAAAAAGGATAAAATGAAAGTCATGTAATTTGTAACCTTGGCAACCCGGTAGTTTTGAAGAAGACAGCATCTTTCTACTGTCAGGTGGCTGTAGATCTTGGTAGGGCTGGGCCCGAGCAGTCATGTCTACTAGGCCTGACTTGGGCAGACTGTTAACATTCACTCTCTAGGATTCCCTTTATGGCTGCAATAAGAATTTGGAGGCTACCCTTCTGCTAGCTGCTGAGGCAGGCACAGGAAGAGGAGCGTATAAAGACTCTTCTCACTGTGGTGCGCATAATCCATGAGGAGGCAGAAATTAACCAAAAACAGCGACTATAATCTCAACGGTCACCAGTGCTATCAAAATAATAATAAAAACCCCCAGTCCCGAAACAAAATAAACCTTCCAGTCTCAACCAGAGCAGTGACAGGCTGTGTGGGAGGACTTCCCTGAAGAAGGGAGGACAGGCTAGAACAAATCTCCAGCAAATGCTGGGAAGTTAGAGGAGACACCATGCACCAGGGCCCATGTTGAGAAGGAACAAAATGCTGAGGCAGGCCAGCATGGAGAACTAAGAGAGGGAGGGGCAGGTTGATGTGGGACAATGATCTGTATTCTGTCAATTATATTTTAAATAAATGCTGATTGGCCAGTAGCCAGGCAGGAAGTATAGGTGGGACAACAAGACAGGAAGTAGAGGTGGGTCAATGAGAACAGGAGAATTCTGGGAATAAGGAAATCCTAGTCAGCAGTCCTGACCCAGCCACAGAAGAAGCAAGATGTGACTGCCACATCACATAAGGTACCGAGCCACGTGGCTAACATAGACAAGAATAATGGGCTAATATAAGTTATAAGAGTTAATAAGAAGCCTGAGCTAATGGGCTAGTCAGTTTACAACTAATGTAGACCTCTGTGTGATTCTTTGGGATTTAACGATTGCAGGAACTGGTCAAGACAGAAACCCCGACAACAAGTAGGCCCTCCTGTTACAGCAGGTGGCACAGATGAAGTGGGAGGATGCCTGGTCACATGGAGTCCTGAGAACCATTCAACAGAGTTCGTGTCTTCATCCTGAGAGCAATAGGAGACCTTGGGAGAGTTCTATGACCAGAGGTCTCATAGGTACTCTTTTTGTTTAATCTTTTGCTTTAGAGAATGGCTTATAGATGTGTCTATTACTGTGATAAGACCATAGTCAAGGAAATATAGAAGAAAGAATTTATTTGGGGCATGCAGTTTTAGAGGTGAAATCCATGACCATCATGGTGGGATAAACAGAAGCAGGCAGGCAGACATGGTACTAGAACAGCAGTGAGAGCATAGATCTTAATTCACAAGAGAGAGAGAGAGAGAGAGAGAGAGAGAGAGAGAGAGAGAGAGAGAGA